AAAAGTCCGGTTTGGTGGGGGAGGTATAAAAGCACAAATTTTAATGCGGACAAAAAAAAAAAAAAAAAAAAGCGAACTCTGGTCCACCTAACAACCTGGGTCTCATTTGGTTGAAGTGAGCTCTGTGAATGCAAGTGGACCGGAAACCGCTCCAAAAGCAGGAAGCAGACTATAGCTCACGGTATGTGCAAATCTAGCACTACAGGGAAAAATGGGTTGTGTTTTTTTTTTTGTTTTGTTTTGTTTTTTTACCAGGGACAAAAGAGAAACCCTACAACTGCTCGAATCTGACACTACTCCATTTATGTTTGCATTATACGGAGGAGGAAGTTGCGCTCGTCTTCGGAGGTTTTCATGTCGTTTCCTTTTGTAGTTCTTGGCACAGCGCCACCACAGGCGAGGAGGTGAACATGTTTTTTAATTTGTTCAGACAGAGACTGTGCAGAGTGGAAGTGAACCACACCAGCTGAAAATGTAGCAAATATTGCAACTTTCATCCCGATCTAACCAAGTCTACCCGACTATCAGATGTGAAAACACCCCAAGAATGATTCATGGTCTCTGGAACCTTAAAAAACTATTTAAATATACTTTATTAATCATGACAAATTTGGAAGAGGTTCAATTTTTAACCGACACAAACCACAGCTTTCATCTACAGGTTGATACGGAATATAAAACACCTATGAAAATATTAAAACTCAATCTTAGTGAACTAAGAGCCAGAAACCAACACACAGCCAAGACAAAGTAACAGTTCAAACAGATTTATTTGAGTAGTTTATTTAGTGCTGCTTAGATCTGTTTACGCTGGACGGTCTGGAAAACGGAAACAGAGTTGAGTGATGTGATTGGAAGAGTACCAGGAAGCAAACAAAAAAAAAATTAGATTTACCAGCAGTTTGGGATCCACAGCCTCCAGAAATCCAGCTTCTGCAGGACTGGCAGATTTGTGAGTGGTTTGGCCTTACGAGCCTCTGAGATGTTTGCTGGAAACAAGCATCCACAATTTAAAAAAGATGTCATCCATAAACCGTCCAGAGGTTCTCAGACGGACGTGGGGGGGGGGGACAATACAGAATATGATTGGCTTGAAGCAGGGTCATGGTCAGGTCAGACAGCTACAGAGAGTAAAAAGAAAAAAAAAACCTTCACTCACAAACTTGTACAGACTAGACAAACACACAGGCAGGTTATTGATCGTACAAACTTGACCACAGTTCATGAAACAAAGCTAGAAGCCTGTGAAAGAGGATCAGACAATCTCACAGCAAGCTGATGAAAAACAGGTGTTTAAATAGAGAGCAGCGCAGGTGATGACAATGAGCAATCAGCAGGAGTGGGATGGAGAGTAAGTAGTAAGCAGCATGGATCATGGCAGAAAACAGAGCGAGCGCGTCAAGAACATAAAATCACACGAGTGCAGTAGTATCAAGAAGCTGCTACTCTCTTAGATTCCAGGTTTTTTTTCCTGCTGCTTTTCTGGCTGCATCACTACTGCAATCGGATCACATCAGCACTGGGAAGCTTTTCTCACAACGTTCAGTCTTTTCTTATATATTTAAGTTAGGCTCTGCACCTCCACAATCAGTTGCAGCTGTGAGAAGCAGTGTTTGTCATCATTAATCAGCAGTACGATGGTATTCAGATAAATGGTTTTCAATACAAAGAGCCGTGCCCTGTGCAAAAACGTTACCCTGGCCAGAGAGGGCAGGGACGTTATATACAGCATTCGCTGCCAGTCTTGTGCACTCCCAGTGATCAATGCGAACTAAATTCACCGAGGTTGCGGATCCTGAAATAAGTTTTCATGAGTCATGATGCAATTAGTGTAAAATTATTCTTGGACTTTTTCCCCCTTTCCCCTCCTTCTCTTCATTCCTCTTCACTAATTACACTGATAAGACTTCGTTCTGGCAGTGTGACCGATACAGTTTGCATTAAAACTGCAACCCAGAAAAACCCAGATGTGCCCGCACTCTTGCACACTTTGGTGACGTGTGCGCTTCTCCCCATGTGTCACGTGCATCGAACTCCAGTCCTTGAGGGCTGCTGTCTTGACATTTTTAGATCAGTCTTTGCTGCAAGTCAAATAATGAGGTCAGTATAAGAGCTCTGAAGAACTTGGCATTGTCCCAGAACTCACACTGCACCCTATGGCCCTCTGTGAAGTGCGTCCTCCTTCCAAGGGCCAATAAGGGTTTGAGTGCTCAGATTACAAGCGTGCAAAAATTGGCAAATTGGGACAGTAGGGGCTGCGTCATCGACTCGCGCCTCTGCGTCTTAACTGCGACATTCAAAATGGCGGGTGTGGTCGCTGATTTGGCATTTGTACTGCTGAAAATGATACTACCACAAGTTAAAATTTTAAAAATATAGTTTAGATATTTTTGCTTTCCAAAGTAAATGCAGGAAATATTTGGCTGTTCGAATGTATTGAATGAGGAGTAAAATTCGATAGTATTCACACAGTAGAGTCAAATGGAAATTATCTGAATATGAAAACTGACAAACGCAGCTTGTTTGGTGAACATTGCCATAATTCAAAACGTCACATGCTGTGATGAATTGTGGGTAACACACTTCACCCGAAGTCCACCTGGATGCTTAGCCGCAGTGTGGGTCAAGTGTGCGAAAGGGGCGGGGCTAAGGATCACTCTGGAGAATCGGGACACAACACACACTCAAACCCTTCAGCGGGAACGAGTCTGTGACGGACACTAGGGTGGAAGTATTGGGACGGGGCCCTCGGCTGCCTTCCGAGGCGCCAATTCAGCCGTTTGAGCCGTTCAAGTGTGCTGAGCCAGGGGCTCATCCTAAAGATGCAGGACGGCGTCTTCGAGGTCTTATGGCGTCTTTATTCCACTGAAAGTCCAGACCCAGTAATTGACTGTTGCCTCCCTCCTTCCCTTTGTTCTCTTTCCTCCTGCTAGATACATCCCCAAACCTCCTTGTTGATAGCAAAAAACCCATTTTGTATTCAAACTGGAACCTGAAAAACTCACAACTACCTGCTGTTTAACAGGCTTTGCACAATTTAGTGCTGCGCACTCAGCCAATACCATTCTCTATTGGCTAGGTGACTGATCATGGTCCAATGTTTAGTAGGATTATGTTTTAGATTTTTTTTTTTTTTTTCCTGATGCTGTTTCATGAGATCTTTTTAGCTGCAGCCAAAGCAGTGACTAAGCACAATGCTCAAAGCAGTATGCATGGGGCACCACAGATTTGCTGCCACAATGCTCCACTGTATAACATACAGGACCCGTATATCCTGCCGCCACAATAATAAACCGCAATGACCGCCTTACAGAAGTTTTGTGCATGCTTTAGACAGTAGGGAAACCCTTATCGTTGTGCAGGCATACGCTGGTAACAGGGAACACACTGAGCTCTCGATGCCACGAAAACCACCTCTCTGGGTCCTTGTAAAAACCAAACCACCAAACTAAAATATCATGTAGTTTTGCCATTTATTTAATAGCACAACATGTGAAACATTCGTGCTGAAATGTGTAAACGCAACAACAGCCTTATAGATTCTACTCGCTCATGTATTTTACAGGAAGCCAAATGTTTGCAGCAATGTGTAGTTCAGGAATAATCACCATTTTTATTACATTTAACGATGTTTTTTGTTTTGTTCCCATGTTTCCTATTTACCTCCTTCTGGAACAACGATCTTACATTTTACAGCGTTTTCTCCTCTGTGTGGCATGTTTATGTTTTTAATTGCGTGCCCTACCCAGTAAACCCCACAGGGTGCCAACTAAATGAGTTATGTTAAAGCTAGCTTACTATTGTGGTGCAACTGGCTCATGCTATCCATATTCAACATATGATATTATTTATAGTTATGTTGCTTTGCTACAAACTGTGAATAAGTCATATCATGCCAGCAACAGTGAGAATGAACAGTTTATTTCAGCTAAGAGTAACTCAGTAACACTTTAACATTTGTTGAAGGTATTGTATTATTTTAATGTATGAACAGTGATAACAGAATTTCTGCCTGATTTGGATCAGATATAATCATCACTGAATTCCAGACAGCATAACAAAGTTCAGTTACTTTAAAGTTTGTCATATTGGCAGAATTTACACTGATAAACCGAGAAGTTGCCATATGTCACTTATTGGTGAAACTGATGAATTTTAATAGAATTTTGCTTTCCACCAGGCTCTATGCCTTTGTGCCGGACATCTGCTAGCATGTGGACGTCAGGTGGCAGGAGTGTTTGTCACAGAACTCAGCTGCTTTTTAGGTTGCAGTCATAGTCATGAGGCCGAATGGAGTGAATCAAATCAAAGTATTAAGACGAACAAGCCCAAGCTGCTGGACCGATCCGCAGAGTGGTGTCACACAGGCCGCCTTTGTCAGTGCTAGACCTGCCATGACATGAAAGTTGTTAACCTTGCCAGAGTATTGCTTACATTTTATCAAATTGCAACCACTAACATTAATGTATTCTATCAAATTTTTATGTGATAGACCCACATAGAGTGGTGTATAGGTGGGAAGTGGAAGGAAAATTGCTTTCAGAAGTCTATACGAATAAAAATTTGTATGCCATGCGTGCCATCAGCCTCCCTTTGTCAACAAAGCGTTTTTATTTAGACCCATCAGAATGCTGGAAAATAAAATCCATATTTATGCCCTACTTTGTGCTTGTCTAACACATAAAATCCCAATAAAATAAACGGAGATGTGCTTTTAAAACATGCCAACATGAGAAAAATTTCAAGAAGCATGAATACTTTTGCAAAGCACCGTAACAATGACCTGTATGAGCCTCCGGAGTCGTGGGTGGGGGATTCTTGGCCAGACGTGTAGTTGCTCCTTTGAGTTTACAAGTATTATAAAGATTTCCTTAGCCTCTCAGTATCCTGTGAGATGAAGCTGGTATGTGGGGGCTTCCAATTTTCCTTTTTTCTCCCTTTTCCTTCCTTTTCCCCCCACTCTTCTCCTTTTCTTCTCTCAGTCTTGTGTTCGTCCAAAACCGTCTCCATTTGTTGGAGGCAACAGGCGAGCGGTCCAAGCAAACTTGCCCAGATTTCATAGCTAATTTATGCAGAAAAGAAGACGTGACACTAACGTACTAAAATCTGAGACAAATGATGGTAACTTTTTCATCAGCCAAAGCATTAAGATGCCATGCAACCTGTTGGTGCCAAGAGATACAAATGAAGAAGTTTAAATCTTACAGCCTCAAAATGCAACCCCGGAGGAGTTTTGTTTTGTTTTTTTCCTCTTTTTTTGAAGTGTTTTCGAAATTAATAAGTCATTAAGTAATCAGTTAAAATAGTGTCATAGGTGTAACTAGGTTTGAATTTATTTGACAGGCAGAAGGCATAAAAACAAGATTTAAAGCTGCAGTTTGTAACTTTTATTATTATTTTTTTACATATTTGTTGAAACTGTTACTATGTCTTAACAGTATGTTATGAAAAAAATCTGTGAAAAAACTGGGCTCCTCTGCTTTCTGCCAGTATCCCCAGTGCTAACTAGAAGATCTTAGCGCTGTCAATCACAATCTGGTGTGCCGCTACTCATCTCATCCCCCCTTTGAGCTCTGTTACGCTGCAGCTAACATAGCCTGTCGTGAATGCTAGGCTAGTTAGCATGACCACAGATAATGGCAGATAAAGAAATTTCCTGTTAGGATAAGTTGTTCGTCCACCATTAGCACATTTAGCAGCAAGTACATGAGTGTAGTTGACAGCACTAAGACCCTCCTCCTGGCTCTGATTGGTTGTTTTTGGTCGGGAGCAGTGCTTTTCTCCAAACAGCAACAGTAACTCAGGGAGGAGATGTATCTTTTTACAGATTATCTGTCTCATAAACTGTAACAACACAGTGACAGCTTTAACAGATGGTTAAAAATATTATTTCTAAAAGTTACATATTACATCTTTAGCAATATTTTATTAAAACCAATTATGATTTACACTTTTTCTTCAATATTCGGTGTGTTGAGTCCGAATGGATTGCAATATGTATTAGCAACATTGGTGAGCAGTGTTCTTCTAATGATCAGGAACAATTATGATTTGTAATATTCGTCTTTAGGTTTCAGGAATCTCCACGTGGACGACCAGATGACTGTCATCCAGCAGTCATGGATGGGGGTGATGGTGTTTGCCCTGGTATGGAGGTCCTACAAGAACGTCAACGGCAGGATGCTTTACTTTGCGCCGGACCTCGTCTTTAACGAGTACGTATCTCTCTGAATATCTCAGTTTCTTCCCTTGTAAAGGTTCGCTGTGTTTAGTGATCGCTCACATTGGTCGAGCCGTTATTCTCATCTTCCCCGATCTCTTTCTGTAAATTGATTTTTCTGCTCGCATACAAACACAAAGGCTTCCAGGTGTTGACAGCATAAAGCAGGAGGGGCTTTTTTTTTCTTCCTCTTACAATCATGTGGAACCAATTTGCCTTTTCTTTGTGTTCTTTTGTTGCTGAGAAATTAAAGTCAGGAACATTTTTCAGTAGTAAGACTCATGGCTTTGTGCTGAATCAGATTGAAGTATCTCAAGAAAAAGTGTGTTGCTTAATTATAGCACACAGCTGGAAATATAGTCATTAATTTAACTGTACATTCACATTGCCTTGCAAAAGTAAGCACAATTGTACTTTTCAACATTTATTCACATTCTGAACACAAACGTCAATGTATTTTAGAGGAATTTTTGCAGTGAACTAACACAAAGTAACACATAGTAGTGAAGTGGAAGAAATATAACACATGGTTTTCACATTTTTGAACTAATAAAATCTGAAAAGTGTGTGGTGCATTAGTATTCCCCGGAGTCAATAATGTGAGGAAGATCTTCAGTTTTTTTTTTTTTGTTTGTTTTTGTTTTGGGGGGTTTTTAGTAGTTTTGCACATCCTGCAAATGACATTATTGCAAAATAGCTCGACAGCAACAGGATTATATAGAGAATTGTCATGGGGGTTCTTGGAAAGCCAATGTCCAGACAAACTTTGAAGTGTGCCATTAGGATGATTTATTTTATAAAAACACAAGTTGTAAAAAAAAAAAGGGGGGGGGGGAAGGGGGACAAAAAAATCAAAAAATCCAAATGCATGAGAAGTGCAACACTATAAAACCAAACATAAGGAATATAAAAACACATAGTGGACAAAGAAATGAACACCAATAGCACAAATGGAGCGAATGAGAATGGATAATAAAGATAAAACCAAAACACTGATACAACAAGAAGACAAGAATAGTCCAAAGAGAAACAAACAAATAATAAACTGAAGAATAAACTACAAACCAGGATGACAAAACCCAATGAGCAAGGTGTAAAAAAAAACTTGCAGAATATGAAAATACTTAAACCACAATAAACTTACACCAACAGGAACAGCCTAGAGAAATTATTCAGGAAGGGTGACACCAGAGTAACTTGTAAAAACAGACCTACCAGAAACAACAAATAATACAAAACTACAAACCTAAAATAACCCATAACAAAAACCACAAACCAAAACCCAAAGACACACAAATCATGACAAGAACATCTTCAAGTAGCACTTTGAGTGTCGCCACAGATTCTCGCAGTGGGAATACTACTGTCAGAACTTTGTGAAATGTTGAAATGTCCATTTATTTTCCTGGTGTCAGCTGCATTTTGTATAATCATAAACTACGGATCAGTACGTTTGTAGTCTATGCTAAAATATAAGGTTAGTGGCTATAAATTGACAAAATGGTAAAAAGAAGATGGAGGGATATTTTGCTTTTTAAGAAACAGATAATACGTGTTTTACTGTACAACCACAAATGTTTCTTAACTGTATTCTCGCATAGCTTCAAAATGCCTCAACGTGCCTTACTGACGCTGTTCAATCAGCGAAACAGCAGGAAATGTGAGAATTTACTGGGAGCTTCAGTAGAAAATATAGTTTTACAATTTACATAACAAAAGACAAAGCATTGGCCGTTATTATTTTATGCCGCACTAAAGCCAAACCTAAACAGCGAATAATAGATTAAGATGTTCATTAGCGTGTTAGACAGTTGGCTATTGGTCTGGACCTTAATGAGCTGTCATTGACAAGCTGTGACAAACCTTAATGAACCCAGAGGGCACTGCACACAGGTCCAGAAATCCTCTCCCAGTATGTGACAGACTGATAAGGTCACGTAGCAGACGGTTACGAACAGCGTCAGCTGCTTAAGGTGATTCAACGAGCTTTTCAGTAATGAGTTTTTATTTTTTCTTTTCAAACTCTCTGCTTCTGCATTTCAGCTCGGGTTCTGTTTCATATTCGAATGCAAGGTGCCAGATTTTTTTTTTTTTTTCAGTTTTTTTGTCTTTATGAATAAGACGCCGTAACATCTGAAACATAAAGTTTTTGAGTCAGATTATAATCTACAGTTGTTTAAGATTAACCAATCGAACAACATTATAGTGGGATTATAAATGCATAGTTGCTTTATTAAATCTAGAATTAGAAGTGGTGTTTCTCTTTTACAGGGATTCTCAGTCTCACTCTTTAAAAAGTAAAAAAATAAATAAAAAAAGGTTTTGACAAACTTTGCTTGAATCTTTTTGACATTTGTTCACTTCAGTTCGACTGAATTTTGATTTAGTGGCAGCATTCAGTCACAGCTAATATGAAGTATAGTTAAGCTGATGAACCACAAATAATGTCCAACTATATAGAACCTTCTTCTCATTTGCATATTTACCTCTTTTAGTTTTTTTCAGATGTAAAGAGATCAGGAGAAAAGTACACACACGGGTTTTCTTCTTTCTTTCGTACCAAAGATGACTAATTACTGAAATATAATCCCAAGGCGCTTCAGATGTTTTTTAATTATTTTTTAAATTTTTACCTTTTAGCATTTTTGTTGTAGTGTTTTTTTGATTGTTTGTTTGTTTTGTCTTTTCTTGTAGGATTTATGGATATTTCATTTTAAAAGATGACTCAACCGGCTAAATTTATTATATAAATGCGAGATGTTTTTATTATTATTATTATTATTATTTAATTTATTTAGTAGGGACAATGCACATTAATAACTGTAAATGTGCCAGAATTAGTCTAAAGGTTACCTGTCAGCTGTAGTCTCTGGACACTAATTCATTGCTCTTCAAATGTAACAGCTTACCAAATGTAGTATTTTAAAATTTAAATATTGCACATAAATATATTTCAGTGAGCTTGTGAGGAAACACTCTGAAGTGTTGACAGGTCTGTCCAACCTATAATCAGTGTTTGTAAGCTGCTCAGCAATTCTAAACAGGAACAATCTGAAATCTATGATAATAATCTATAAATAAGAGTGAACATTGTTTATAAGCAGCGTTTGCAGATTCATCTGAAACAAAAATAGTGAATGCAGTCAGTGGTGGAAACGAAAAGAGTTGATGAGAGCCGGATCAACCTGGATAAAAACCACCATTTCTTTCTTTACACATTGTTTATAACACCGAACCCTTTTCAGTGGGAGGTTTCCGCTCAGATATCTGGCTTTTCAGACAGTTGAAGAGTTTTTAGTCTGAACCAGATGTTCCTATTCTAATCTAAACACACACTTACTGTACAGTATGTGGTTCCACTTTAAACTTCAGTCACTCCATTTTAATCCAGGAATTTCATAGCCTGGTTTGTTTATTTATGGTCACCATTAAAAAAGACTAATGTGAAAAATTATAGCCGTAATATAATAAAAATGGTTCAACAGGTTTTGCTTTTATGCTCACTAAATAAAATAAATACAACAGAAGTAGGCCCTTGCAAAGATGGAATAAAACTCAGTGTGTTAAACAGTCCAGTATTTTCATTTTATTGCACTTGCTGAGTCTTTTGTGGCTTTCATGCAAACTCGCTGGCTGCCCGGTTCTGCTCTGTAACACTGTAACATTAGGACTTTACACCCACCTGCATAAGACTGACATTTTCCTTTTTCACCTTTTGTCACATTGCAACCACTTGCTTGGATTGTATCAGACGAGACTGAGAAAATTGTTAATTTGCGTAAAGCGGAAGGACAGCAGACACGTGGTCTTAATGTTATGGGACTGCACAGGAAGTGGTGAGATTGTGTGTTTATATGCGCACAACTTGCCTGAAGTTCGAGGCCGTGAGATTACGAAATGTGAAACAAAGTTGTAAAGGTATGAATACTTTCGCCCGTGACTCTATATTGGTTTTCGGAGCAACGGAGAACATTTATCTTTCTTTCTTTTTCTTTTTTTTTCAGCTGGAGTTTCTCTGGTGACATTTCTATTCCAATTAATAAACTCAAACTCATTTCACTTTTATCGGCACAGTTGAGTAGTGTGAATGAAGTTTGTAATAAAGACAGAAAGATTTCATTTCAGCAAAGCTAACAAACTTTGATGGCGCCGTCTTTTGTTCATTGTGGAGGCGAGGTGAACACTGAAAATTCAGTCATTTCTCTTCGACTCGAAGCCAAAGGCTGGGTGATAGGACGGTGTCGCTACACGCTGTGTGTTTTTAACTTTTTGCCCCAGATGTTAAAGATTGCAGTGCAGGAAGCTCTTTCTGTAAATGTGATTCAGACTCCCTGATAGGTATGGATGAAACCTCTGACACTCTTTCCTGTCAGCAGTTAGGCATTGCGGAGAAAATGTCCTCGCCTCTCGGAAATTGAGTCATTTCCATTAGTTTACACCTCTGATTCTGAACTCTTTGCTTCTGCAGACATCGAATGCAGATCTCCACCATGTATGAGCATTGCATGCGGATGAGACATCTGTCCCAGGAGTTTGTGCTGCTGCAGATAACCCAGGAGGAGTTCCTCTGCATGAAGGCCTTGCTGCTCTTCAGCATAAGTAAGTGCTGTAGTTCACCGGAATAGCATTTTTGATTATTAAACGCATATAATCCAATTCAATTTAACCCAGGTGTAGGTCGTGCTGTCTTAATTTAATGTTCCTGATTCAGCTATAAGACAGACATTTGGTGACAAAGACATCCCTGAGAAAGTTCAAAGACTAAGACCGTGTTTACACGAGACCGCTGACTGGAAACCTATGGTATTTTCGAATGCTGATTGGGAAAAAGTTCCATGTTTAGACATTGAGTCAGCTGTAGTTGTCATGCCAGGCCACTATGTGGCGCTGTGATTTTAGCATGTCATCCAACGTGCTTTTGACCCGGAGCGTCCACCTCACTAGCTTCCACTTCATTTAGAAAACACTAACTCATCCCCCATGAACGCAGTGCTCATGTATTCCTTATCAGAAATTGCTCTAAGCTGAGCAGGCTAAGTTAGCGCAACACAGCACAATGCTGTGATTGTTTTTGTTGTTCTCATGCGTAGAATAAAGTGGCGTCATGTGCATGAGAGGCTGGTTTGCAATGGATTACACTTCAACTGCAGAGCAGCTCTGTGGAAATGTGGCCTAAAACCACTGATGACACAAAAGAACACCAAGATGTGTCTGACATTTACCGAAATAAATCCCAAAAAACACTGTAGCGGTTCCAAGGACTTTGCGGAAAATATTCTGTAGACTAACAAGACAAAAGTAGAACGTTTTGGAAAGTGTTTGTCTAATTACATTTGGTGTAAATCTATCGTTACATTTGTTTTTAATGTCATACTGACAACCAAGCATGGCGGTTGTAATTTTATGGTCTTTCGCTGGTTTGCAACTTCAGGGTCAGGGTTGGTTGTCTTAACCGATGGAACAACAGGTTCTGCTCTCTGCCGCAAAACCCTGAAGAAGAATCTTCATTGGTGACCTTAAGCCCCACCGCACAATAATCTGAAGCACACCAGCTCACCAAGTTTACCTCTCAATGACCTAGCCAAAGTCCCAACTTAAATCCCTTTGAGATGTTCTGGTATAAACCCCAAACAAGCTGCTAATGCTGGAACACCCCCCAGTGTGTTGGAGTTAAAAAGAATTGGCAAAGAAGAGTTGGACAAAAGTTACCCCCAGGTGACGCAAAAGACTCATTGAGAGTTGCAACAAAAGCTTGACGGCAGTTGTTGGCTCTAAAGGTGGCACAACCAGTTCTTAAAGGGGATCGATTTTGCAAAATTCATATTTTGCACAACTTTATACTTCCATTTGGGCCTCAGGTGCTTCTTAAAGCGGGCCAAGCACTTAACAAATCCACCCAGGCATTTTTTGGTAATAAACTAATGTTTTTTGGTGTCTGGAAAATGAGCCTGTTCCAAAAACTACCCGAATGTTAAGTGACAACGGATCGGAGTTTTGTCATCACCTTGCAACCCAAGATGAGCTCCAGTACATTTGATCAGCTGGTGCAATGTATACCATAAAAAAAAACAAAAAAACAAGTGCTTTGTTGTTGACTTACCATCCAGAAACCACTTGCTGCATTCTTGTTAGTTGTGCACGAGGCTCCACTAATGCTTTTCAAAGTCGTACAGTTGTATAAACGCACATATGTTTGCAGCTATTTTCATTTGCGAGTGCAACATTGAGTTGGGGGCGTGGCCGGCAGTGACTTATTTGGATTTAAAGTGACAGGAGTCCCTAAAATGATTCTTTCTGAAAGAAGCTCAAGATAGTGAGAACTGAACAGATTAAAATCTCATCATCTAGGAATGACTTTGTGCAAAAATAAAAAACAGTGAGCATTTTTTGTATAGCAATAGACCTAGACCTGACTTATTTTGTTCACCGAAGCAACATAATTCACCTTTAAGGTCATGGACAATTGTTTTCTTACGTAGAGTCATGGTGGTTTGGATCTCTTGCCTCGTATGCAATAAAATCATCCTTTGAGAACTTTATTTCGCACTAATCGAGTTCCTTGTATGATATTGAAACATGTTTGTGGATCTGAAACATTAAAGTGTGACAAAAAATAAATAAGAAAGCAAGCAGACATGCAGCTGTAGCTCTGATTTTGGTTTTACAGTTCCGGTGGAGGGCTTGAAAAGTCAGAAATACTTTGACGAATTGCGGCTCACCTACATCAAAGAACTGGATCGCCTCATCAATTACCAGATGACCACAAACTGTCCTCAGAGGTTCTACCAGCTGACGCGACTCCTAGACTCTCTCCAAATGGTGAGACAAAAGTGCTTGAAAAATGAAAAAAATAAAAAATAAAAAATAAATAAATAAATAGAGGGAGTTGTGGTGAAAGGGTGGCAAAAACAAGGGGGAGAGAGCTGTGGCTGAAAAACATTAAAAGTTTTTATGGCAAGCAGACGCAGAGGAATCACATGAAAAATATGTGGATCTGTTAACCTAAAATGACTCATTGCCACACGTAGTAAATTTCATCGCCATGACATAACCGATCGCCTGTCCTCTCCTGTTTCAGACTGTAAAGAAGCTCCATCAGTTCACCTTTGACCTGTTTGTTCAGGCTCAGTCGCTTCACACGAAGGTCAGCTTCCCTGAGATGATCGGGGAGATCATCTCGGTGCACGTTCCAAAGATCCTCGCAGGTTTGGCCAAGCCAATCTTGTTCCACAAGTAGAAGGATGAGTTTTTTTTTTTGTTTTGTTTTTTTTTTTTTCATTAAAAATGAGTTAAGTGCTGCCTTCATGAACTTTAACAAAGGCTGTGAACTGTTTCCCCACATCGTCTGTCTGATTTGCTTTCAGGCGTGTCCTGTTAACACTGTTTTACTGCTCAAGTTTCTTTTATTTTTGTTTAGTTTTGTTGTTTTTTTTTTTGTTTTTTTTACACCTTTTATATATAGTTAAGATTTTTTATTCAGAACTGGTCAGGCTTTTATCTTAAGAGCTGCAAGGCCTCATCTGCTGACAGCTCAGTAGTTCCTGGATGGAGAGCGTGTCTTCTACAGATGGAGAAAAGTTGCTTGGTTTTAAATGAAGATTATTCATAAAGTTAAACACACACACAGCAACTTGGTTGTTGTGATCACGAGCATGAGTCTAATCCTATAATTTAAGAAAAAAAAACTGTTGGTTTATGATTTGTAAAAACATCAATCCCATGTAAAGATGTGCAAAAAAAAAAGAAAAAAGTAAAATAAATTTTTCGTTACAGCATCATAATCTCACACTAAAAATCAAACTTTTGGTTTAAGTAAACGTGTACAGTGGGGAGTAATCGGTAAAACTGCTGATTATGCCGTTTACGACATCCTCTTGCTAACAGAAGAGTCATTCTGGTGGTTGTTTTTAACGTTGAGATCATTATTAATAAGCCACGTAAATAATAGCGTAATGGGAATACGAACTCCTTCAGCAATGTTTTGCTTTTTGTCCACGTGTACAAAGTTTTTACCCCAGCAAGAACAATGACACTATGCCATTGTTTAGGATTTTTTCATAAATTGACGTAAATTATCTGAAATGACTCATGGCAACAACTGTTACTGAAGACTGACAAAAAAAAAAAAAAAAAAAAAAAAAGTTTTTCATGTTTTTGACTTGTGTTGTTGTTTTTTGTTTTTGTTTTTGTTTCCCAGCCTCTTAAGTGGTGTTTAACTTAATTACAAAAACATGTATGACATCCTGTGGAAACAAAAACTGTTAGAAAACATGTTGGATGAGTTAGAATTTTCAAAGTAGCATCTTTGTGGTCGGTACTTTTGGGTCTCAATCATCAAAAGCTGGTGCGGATTTGGGTGTAGAAATGATTGAACGACCTTGTGGGATTTTTGAAACCAATTGGCCAATCCCAGCATACCAACAGTCTGGCGTTCATTGTGGATTCATTTACTTATCTCTGAAAGGGCAATATCTTTAACAATCAGAATTTCCAGGAAACGCCCCAATTTATTCACAGCTTCATTGGCCTCCACCACAGAATTTGCGGTGCAAAATGAAAGATATTTCAGATTTTTTTGTTTTGTTTATTCCTTGTTTTTTTTTTTGTTTTTTTAAGTAGGCAAGTGTGCAATTTGACCTTTTTTTTAAAAAAATTATCCTTCTCATACTATTTAACACAACCAATCCAACTTTACCTGGCCTTTGACTTATGTATGTAGTTAACCTCTCTCATCTTCAGAGTTATGAAGAAAAATCATTAATTAAATATAAACATATAAGCTGGAATCTTGCACTGTTTAAAAAATAATTATTGCACTACTATGACGTGACGAATCTCTGACGCAGCTGGATTTCTCCGCTGCGCCCAAAAACACGGCCTTGACAAACCTGCAGACACGATCCGACCTGCAAACCCGTTTCTGACAACATGGAGGGAGCTTGCAGATTTTTTTTTTTTTTTTCCTGGGCTCCCACTGGCTGCTTCGCTTTCTCTCTATGATCAGCCTCATGCCAGACCATGTACCTGAGTTCAGCATTGACGTGTTACATTACAGCACCTGACTCAGCCTTTTGCTACACAGTGGAGGCCTACAAACCAGGGAACGGCGTGGTTATTGCTGTTTTTCTTGGAGAACTGTTTCCCCGGCCCTTTTGGAGTCTGTGAAATTTGCTTTAGGAAATTACTCAGACTTTGAGCTCAGCCTCACCGAGCATCTTTTAAACAACTTTTTGCCTTTTCAGACGAGTTATGATGCAACGATTGCCGCAACTGACACTTTGTGCATGCCTGACTGTAAGTAACTTTTTATCTGTAAGCAGTAGATATTTTTAGCAAAACGATATCACAGCCAGAACTTAGCAAAAAGAAACAGTAGAACAAAGTAATGAGGGGGTAAACAAAAGAAAGCGATAAGAATTTGCCCAGAATGATGTGCACACCTTTTATTTTTATTTATTTTTTTTATTTTAACCATCGGTGCTTTAATGAAGAAAATAAAATAAAAAATATGGGGTGAGCAGCAATTTACTCAGCATGTTGAAAATGTAGCATCCAGAACAGACAAGTAAAGAATTAGGAGTGCCAAAGATCTGAAATTTAGGCATTGATGTCCCAGCTGGAGCAAGAAATCTAAAGCCAAAGCCAAACGAAAGCTGGAAGGTCTCACATGAAGAGTGTGAAAGTCCTTGACTGGCTCTGCTGAACCTCTGGTGATGAAAACCGAGAGACGGAATGAGAGGAATATCCTCAAGATAAGCCATCCCAAACCCGACTTAAGAAAAATGGTTCACGGAGTCAAACGCAATCACGAGGTTTCACATTTTGTTTTATTTAAAAGCAATGTAAACAGTGAATGACTAGGCATTTTGTATATACAACTTGGTCAAGGTGCATCTCAATAGGAATGTGGTTGAAAAATGCGTTTATGTCAATAATTCTGTTTAGAAGTGATTACCAAACAAATTTTGTATTTTACAGATATATGTATATTTCTGTTAATTCTACTGAATGTGTCGTTTTTGCTAAAGAATTCCAAAAAAAAGATATTTTAAAAACATTTGATCGAGACCAACTTAAAAAATAAAAAAAATAAAAAGTTTTCGATGAGAAACTCTCATGTTGTGGTCATGCAGTCGAGTGTGTTAATGGAAGGTTTAGTGGAAGGTAGAACTTAAAGGTTTCACTTTTTTAGACTGAGTTACTGGAATAAATCATTTTTCGATGATATTCAAATTCATTGATGTGCATCTTGTTGTGCAGAACAATGATTAAAACCCAAGACGGGAGAATATATCCAGCTTTACCGCTTTCATTTATCAACCTGCACATGTAACAGGTCATAACTACTCTATTACATAAATTATTTAGCTTATTTTGCAGTTTTTAGTGGTCTTCAACAGTGTTCTATTAGTATGTAAATTAAATAATTCACTTTACATTTTCTAAGCTGGTAGTTGCATGCCTTATGTGTTTTTATAAGCGTTAAATGTAACTTTTAGCTTTACAGATGCACGGACATTCATATGGTATCCCTCCAGTAATCTATTTATTGTGCAATTACTGGTTGTGTCATAGTTGTTCTTTGTGCGGGACATTCAGCAGAAGAGAAAAGAACACGGAAAGGTGGACGATGACATCACGTTTCACCTTTTTTTTTTGTTTTGGACCGCGTTCACTTCAGCGTCAAAGCGGACGATGTCTTTCTTTCATATTTGTCTGTTCGAAACAAATGTGTTTCATGTCATCAAAATGTGACTTAATGTATTGGCTGGTGAGGAACACAGTTCGATCGAAACATTTTTCAACACGTAGTTGTTCGGTAAACATCCGTCGAACGGAGGGGATGCCAGAACCGGAGTAACAGACAAGCGACCGATTATAACGTTTCCTGAATTTCACTATATTGCTAGGGTTTTGCAGAAAAAAAAAAAAAAAAAAAAAAAGAAAAAAAATATCTGTCATGATTGTGCTTTTATCCTATTTCAGCTTTGTCATGCATCATACAGGGGGGAAATGAAGGCATTAACTGTGTATTGCACACAAAGGCGAGTCCTGAGGATGCATGTGGAAACTTTTAATACAAACATGGTTTTATCAGTCAGGGGGTCGGGGAAGTGTTTGTATTTTTTAATTTCTAAAAGAGAATAGCTGGTAAGTGCCCGCTGTACTGCATATTGACAAGGCTCTTTGTACATTCTACAGTAAATGTATATATTGATCACTTTATTGTGTGTTCTGGTGTTCATACACTTTTCAAAGAAATCTCTTGTATGATTTATATCCTTTGTGACCTGTGTTTTTATGCGTGGTTTTTTCTAATATGTAAAGTTACATCACTCTCTGAGGTCAATTAAAAGAAGTCAGACTCTGAAACATGGACTCGTAGTTTGTTTCGACAACAACAATGGGGAGCACAGCATCTTACAGTCTGACGTGCATTTTATTGTGGTTTTATGTGATGGACCAAACACAAGTAGGGCGAAACTGATAAGTGGAAGAAACCAGTTTATAAAAACATGAACAAAGAATAACACAGAGCGTGATGCGCCTTTACAATCATGGCTGAAAAACACATCACAATTAAAAGTTTCATATTAATAAATAGTTATTAGTTTTTTGTTCCAAACATCTGAAATACTACCAAAATGGCGGCGTGACTTTTCCTGTTTCATCCACAGGTTTAAATTCACGTAGTTTTTATTTTTTTATTTAGAAGCTTGAAACTGCTGCTGCGCAAGTTACTCAACAGGTTGTTGCTAGGTAACCAAAGAGTAGGTACGTTGCTAGGTAACCAAAGAATGAGGGAGTTAGTTGATGCCACTCACCTTGCTTTTCTCACTCTGAGAAGTAGACAGATATTTGGTGAACACAGCCTACAGCTCGTCTTTTTTTAGAGTTACAAGAAGCAAAGAAAGAAAGTCCTGAGAAGTTCTGTTTGTAGTTTGCATGTAGGAGACGCAAAAAAAAAAAAAAAACATGGAGGAAAGCCTTCTAGTCACATCAGAGAAAATTCAACTTTACATGCAAAACGTTGTGTGTAGCAGAAAACAAACACTGCATAAAACCCTGAATGCATTACCCTCATCGTGAGACATGATGGTGGCAGCTTCATGATGTGACAACCTGGTTATGGAGATTATTAACTATGGAAGAAAGCCTGAAAAAGGATGCAAAAGACCCGAGGTTACAAAAATAAAGTATATAAACGTGGCAGAATTTGAATCTGGCTTCCAGTGCTGCAAAAAGGTGGTTGTTCTAGAAAACGCTGTTGAAACTCAAAGGGTGTGAATACTTTTTTTTTGGTTAACCAAAAACTTTTTTTTTTTTTTTTTTTGGTAATTCAATAATTATTTGGAGCAAGGCATAGTTAAAATGTTGGTACTAACCTTTTAAAATGAAGATGCCTCTGTTAATGCAGGGATCCTCAGTGAGGTCATTAGCAGGACTCTGGGAATCTGACTGCAAACTCAAAAGGTGATTCAGCCATTTGATTGAGGCGCGTTGGACCCGACACACATTTAAAAGTTGCAGGACACCGGCCTTCGAGGCCTGGATTTGAGAACCGCCGGTCTAGGGGTTTGTGCCGATTCCTCAGAGTCACTCTTTACTGCACATTTAATCACTAACACAGGCTTGAAAACTTTGACTGTTCCTCTTCAGGAGCCACTCCTCCACCCAGCTCGGCTCAGGCTGGTGGAGTGAACGAGCAAAGAGCCGAGAGGGGGGAGAGATTTCAGGCCTGCGTTGGCAGTGCCTACTGGAATGTGGAGGAGGAGTGCACGGTAAAACAAATGTGCAGGCAAGCTCTTTGTGCACATATGAGGCTCTGAATTGCTTTGCTTCTGAAAGCGTTATTTTTTAAAATGACGCCTTCAACGGCCAACCCCTCGTGAGGCCGCATGATCACAGCTCTGCAGCTCGAAGTCATGCGGATGTTTACAAACAGATTAACGAGTTTTTTTTTAATTATTATTATATTTTGATATCTCAACTGATAATCTCATTAAAATTTATTTCTTCCTGACTCCCTGAAGGATAAAGATGTCACACTGATGATCCCTTTTTCACTCTGGCGCCACCAAGAGCCATTAAACACACAGTGGACATAAATTCTGCCTCAAAATCGTCATTGCAATGGTGAGCGTGCAAGCATGCTGGCACTGGCATTCACTCTGAACACCACCATGGTAGTTTATAGCCTCAAGAAGGCGCTACTATGGGGATTTTTTTCCCCCCCAAACTGAAGCAGTAAATTAGCATTGCACAGAGGAAATCTTTATTTCTGTGTGAATTAGTTTCTGTATTTGTAAAAAACTAAGCAGACACGAGACTTTGAAAGATTCGGTTTTCTCAGAATCGAGATGGTAGAACTAATGCAGCCGGACAATTTGAATCTGTGTGTTGGGCCGGTTTTATTATTAGCATTAAAACGTTAGGATTAAGCGTTGGGAGTGACGGAGGTACAAATAGGAGTTCTGGTTAATATCCGAGTCACCAAAAGCATTTCGGCGTTGACCACACGGTATTCCCTGGAAAACATGCGTAAAAACCGTTAAAAATGAATTCATTTTTTCTTTTGCAGGGGGAAACGTAACATCTGAGGTATTTTGAGTACATTTAAAGAAAAAGACAAAATCCCACAGGAAGAACTAAATGTGTTTCACAAGACTGCTGTTGGCATAATTGTCTCAGGATTTGTATTTTTTAAATAATGTAAATAAAAATGTCTTATGCCTTAAATTTGAGTGTTACCGTTGCAAATATATTTATATCTTTATCTCTATATAATAATGTGTATATATATATATAGAGAGAGAGATAGCTATAGATACAGATAGGTATGCAACAACACTCGCATGAATTTAAGGTACAAGGCATTTTTATTTACCTTTTATTTAGGCATTTATTTACTATATCTTTTCTCGTAAATGTGGCAGACCTGCACAGGCTAATTTGAGGCTAGAGCAAAATAACTCTGATTGACTTTGTTAAATGTCTCATTTAAAACAGCACTAAAAATAACACTATTTAAAATAAATAACTCATTTCTTAAACCTCAGTAAATATAAATCTGCCTTCGAGCTAAAGAAAAAAAAAATGCTTCCAAGATGGCTTGCACATGTGGGACGTGGGTCTACCACATTATTTAACAGGCCTTTAAAATCTCAAAATGACTTTAACTGAACTGAGCCCTGCAATCCGAAAAGTAAACTAGGGGAGTCAGGAGAAAGGATAAGTGGACCTTTCAGTAAAACATCAGAACAACAGCTCTTCAAAGAAATAAATTGTACTTCTGAGTCTTTCAAATATCTCCTCGTTTATTTTTCTTTTTGAAAAATAGGCAAAAAAAAACATGTGAAATGAACATAGCATTAAGAACAGAAACAACAGTAAAACATTGGAGTGTGGTTTGTAACATTCTATATGATTACATCTGATTTTGTAATCCTAACCATTTCAACTTGGAACAAATTGACAAAATGACTTGAAATACCAAAAGCTGGAAAGAAATGAGAAAATTCACTAGGAGGAACCCAGTTTGTAACTAAAACTGTCATTAATTCAATACACAGTGGCTGGAATGCAAGCCAAACCCATCATAGCTTCTGTATTTATTAACTTTGACACACAAATTTTCTTCATTTTTTTCCCCCAGTTTTCTGCCAGAAGTAAAAATGTTTCTTATTAGTGCCCTTTCAGTGCTGCATGCTTTAATACTGAAAAATATGAAAAAAATTAGCTTTCTCAGCTAGCAATCAATTACAGTAGCTAATCCTTTAAAAAAAATTAGAAGTTAATATATAAAGTAATAGATTACATTTTCAAGTGACTGAACTGATGACGTCAGGTTTAGGTCAGGTAGACTTCTTTGGGGAAAATACTTCATATTGCTAAGACCAGCTGTTAGCACTGCAAGTCATAACCAGCACAGTGTGCAAGTAACAGTGGCAAAAAAAAAGTAAAGTAAAATAAATTAACAAATCAAAATAGCAAAATGACTAAATTTGATGAACAATGCAACACGTGTTGGGGAATCACGATCGAGTTTGACGATGTGTTGCTTCACAACACCATGCAGTCACACAGCTGATACTCAGCTGAAACCCAAACAAACCCATTCAGATCTGATAGGAGCCTCTTTCTCATGTAATCTGAAAAGTGCAGCTGAGAACATCCGTCCAGGTCGTCCACCGTTCCACCTCTTCACTTCAGTTCTGGGGAAACAAAACGGATAGAATGTCTTACAGGGACGGTGTAATGTATTTCCCAGGAACTTAGTGACATTTTAAACCACAACCAAGTAGCTTTGTTAGCTTCAGCTGTTATAAAAATGTCTTAAAAGAAGTTGACTTTGCAATTTAATGCCTTGAAATTGGGCCTCTGTCTCTTTAAGAAGCTTCTACTCATCACAACAACCTTTAATGACGTTTGTAAGTGTTGCCCTGAGAAGTAGTTCATATCCACCAGGTGTTTGCCAATCGCTGCTGCCGCTAGTCTGAAGGAGCCGAGTGGAGGAAGCGGTTCATACTGTGAGATGGAGGCTCGGTTGATGCAGCGCTCGGTGAGAGCAAACGTTTTTCCCAGTGTTTTTTTTTTTTTTTTTTTTTTTTTTTTACCAGGGGGGGGCAAAAAATTTTTCAAAAAAAAATAAAATAATAAAGGAAAAATCC